CAAAAAAAAAAAATTAAAAAAAAAAACAACCCACCACTACTATATAAACAGATGTAATAATCATCAAGAAGGCCCTGAGGCACACTGTGGATAGATACGTATTCACACTAAAAGAAATATATATAATAATATGTTTTTAAAAAGCTTAGGATTTTAAGGACTCAAATTTTGCGAAAGGGAAAACGGACAGAAGGAATTTTTCCAAAGATGAGTGAGACAGTTGGTATCCCAGTTTTGCCGAAACATTCCAGACTCAGACCTCTATACACAGCCCTCATCAAGGCACTAGAAGTTAGAGAGTATGATCCACTGGTTGCCATCACAGGCTGCCAGTATGGAAGAAGTGAGACTTGCTTTGGAGTATTCAAAAAAAAACCAAACTTTTATAAACACCATTTACTTTTTAACTTTGCAAAACCTTTGCAACAATTAAGATCTAAATAAACATTTTGACTGGGAAAAGAACGCATACAGCTTTTGTACTATTTATTTCTGGCAAAATCATTGGGTCAAAGTCAATGAGATCAGTGTTATAAGCTTGAGCAAATCCTAGATCTATGAGAAAGTTTATAACTTTAAGTGAACAGTTTTCTGCGGTAAACATTCTAAGCAAAGAGTCTCTTAAACAAGCTTTACAGAAACTGAAATGTTGATAATTTATAGAGGATGCCAATCCAATGTAAACTTTTTAAAAAGCAGAGGGTCATGTATTTCCTCTCTCTGCCCTGCATTGGGCCTTCCCATGCTCTATTAAATTAGCTCTTGTCTCCTCAGTCCCCTCCCTAGACGATGAACATTTTATGAGCAGGGACCGCCTGTGGCTACTCAAAATCATTTTTTAGGTGATTTCTTTTGTTTTTGTTTTGTATACGTATTTTTGAGAGACAGAGCATGTCTCTTTGGAGACGGAGCCTCCAAAGCAGGCTCCAGGCTCTGAGCTGTCAACACAGAGCCCGACATGGGGTTTGAACCCACGAATTGTTAAGATCACGCCCTGAGCTGAATTTGGAGGCTTAACGCACTGAGCCACACAGGCGCCCCTAAGTGATTTCTTTATAATTGAGGTATAATTGACATGTAACATTATATTGGTCTCAGGTGTGCAACATAATGAGTTGGTATTTGTATACGTTGCAAAATGATAACAACAGCAAGTCTAGTTTAAAAATAATTTTAATGATTTTTTTTTTTTACTTTTCCTTGCATTAGTAGTTAAGATTCATGAAGAATTGCAACAGCTAATATATTTGTTTACAAAATACTTTACCATTTATTGTCTTGTTTCTTCCTCAAAGCAACCCTGTGAGGTAGGGAAGCCCAAAAACGGTGTTATCCCAAAGCAGAAGGCTCTGAGTTTACAGAGACATTCAGTGGCTTGCTTAAAATCGTACCAGCAGGAAGTTGTTCAGGGGTAGGGCTTCAGCCTGATGATCTTAGAATCCTGAACCCATTTGGCTCTCAGGTAAAAATTTCAGCTGCTCATTTCTGAATCTGATTCTGTATCATCCAGTACAGCATACAGCACAAAACGGGAATAATTCCATTTTTCTTTCAATATTTCCCATCTGCTTTATTGGATTTTTTTTTTTTTTTTTTTTTTTTTTTTTTTTTTTTTTTTTTAGGGACTCTGGTACATTAAGAGTACATTATTCTCCTAGAGAATAGTATGCCATCTCTTCCTTTTTATTCTCAGTTATTATACTATAAGATAATCATAATATTTCTGTCAGGACCTCCGTCCTTATGAAACCCTTCATTAGCCTTTATTAGGTTTGCTGAAAACTTAGGGAAGTCCATTCATGCAGACTTAAAGTTCTGTGACTTTTTAAAATCGTTACTAAATAGGTACTTTTAGGCTCTGAAGATCACATAGACCAGAGTAAATTACAGTTTGGTTTGGGTCACTATTCATTGTCAAGTTCATTGGGATGATCATGTTTGATAAATGCGTGTTCACTGGAAATACTTTGTGTTCAGATGCTTAACTGGGCAATGAAAAGTAACCACGGGTTCAACTTTCTCCTGCTTAATCTCAGGCTAAATGTAAAGGTTGTTTGTAAGGTTTGAATAAAAGTCTGCTTACTCATTTTGAGTGACTGCATGTTTAAAAATTGAAATTGTTCATTTTGTGATTACAAAACCTCACTGGCTTGATATTTCACTAGTGAAAAATGCTGTTATCTGCACAGTTGGCATTTCACTGTGTATTTACTAAATACTTGCGACAAATGTTAACAAGGTAACTCATGCGCTTGATCACTGAGGAGTAATGCTGTTACACTTGTCCATTCAGAGCCCGTTTTTCCTTGCCTTTTGTTTCTGCTGCTGATCTATTTCCTTTTCTCTACAGCCTTCTTGTCCATAGTGAGACAGCACTTTAAGGTCTTTGTTGGCTTAATGCTTAGTGTGACAAAACTATTAAAGCCCCTCTGTGCAAAGGCTCCCTGTGTTTTCCTATGTTCACATTAACCACAATATTACAAAAATCTGTCTTTCCTCCTGTGGGTCCCCTTAACTGCTCGCACAGAACACTTCACTTTTGACTTCTGGTCACTAAATGTGCGTGGTCCCCCCTCCCCCAATACCAAACAATTCTGTGACACCAGCTGTGTGTCCTATAATTTAACTTAATTCAATTCTTAAACTGTCTACCTGGAGATAATGTCAGATCGCACAGCTTCAGGTCTCAGTTCTGCAAGACTATTCCCACCCCACTTCACATGTCAATCTCAAGTACAAGTTGTCATCTGTGCTTCTGACAGATGGGCTATAAATCTGAGTTCCCAGGAATCCCTCCTTGAGTTTGATGTATTTGCTAAAGTGGCTCATAGAACTCAGGGAAGCATTTACTTATATTTATCCGTTTATTAAGGGATATGAGAAAGAATACAATGAACAGCCAGCTGAGGAAAGACATAGGGTGTGGTCTAGAAGGGTCCCAAGCACAGGAGCTTCTGTCCCTACGGAGCTGGGGTGCATCACATTCCCCAAACATGGATACATTCACATGCTAGGAAGCTCTCTGAACCCCATACCTCTGAGATTTTATGGAAGTTTGTTGATGTAGGCATGATCAATTATTATTTCCATTTCCAGCCTCTCTCCCCTCTCTGGAGGGTAGGGGATGGGGCTGAAATTCCAACCTTCTGATCACAGTTTCATCATTCTAGTGACCAATGAGCTATCCGGGAGCCATCCAGAAGCACAGCCAGAGTCACCTCATTTGAAAAAAAGATTCTCCTAGTGCTCTTACCACTTAGGACTTCACAAGGATTTTAGGAGAACTGTGTCAGAGATGGGGTCAAAAAATAAATATTAAAACAAGAGATCATCCTAGTGCTCTTAAAATTATACATGGGTTTCAGATATCCGTGCCAAGGACTGAGGGAAGAAAACAATATATATTTTCTGTTATCTCATAACCACCATCAATCAACTGGATAGGTATTCATTCAACGTATATTAAGGTTGTATTTTCTCACACCCCACGTACCACTCACCCAAGACTACTTTTACGCCATTCCTCTGCTAACCACTTAGTCATTGCTCCGTGGACGCCCATAACACCTGTCAGTACAACCCTCTACTCTTCCTCAGGCGTGGATCTCAAGTTTGTCCTTCCTCATTCTGGGAACACTTTGGCTTCTGACTCAGTCTTTCTCTTTGTCTCAGGGATGCCCTCATTCTAATTTCCACCAAAGG